GAATAGGGGGTCATGCTGGTATGCTTTGGCTGGGCTTGTAATAGGAGCCCGGTAGCTTGTGTTGTCTTTGGCTATCGTATTGCATATGGTGCCCGGAAGTAACCGCGAAAGACGCGTCCATTTTCTCGCGCATCAAGGTACGGATGAGTGGATCAGCCTCTTCAACGGTTGACCAAAACTTGTTATAAAAGGTTTGAGCCCAAGTAGGTCGAACCTTCGCAATGTGCTGGACAGGCTCGAGCTCTTTGGCGACGCGCTGGGCAAGAGGAGGTGTTTGTTGTGATTTAGCCATCACGGTCGCGATGACCAAACTAAGATGCACTCACCAGGGATCGAATTGGAGGGAACAGCTGGAAAGGATTAGGTAGACGTTCCATATTTTATTGATGACTGAGAAAAAGATGTGAATTTACTCAAGTCTTAGACTATCAAGCACATTGGGCTCCTCTCTGGCCCAGCTCACATCTTGTACAGTGCTTCTATACTCTTTTGTTACTTGTGAGATCAACGAAATATTGCCCGTGATGAATAGCGATTCAGCTCAGTACTTACCCGTGGAATTCAGCCACCTTTTTCACGAAACCTTCTACCCCAAAAATTAAAATGGTAGCAATGGAAACTGCGTGCGCAGAAAAAAAGTCTCAAGAAACCTGCAGCCCCAGCTAGCCAGGCATAGACACCGAGACCACATGGACTGCGCACATTCATCTATATCTGTGACGGGCTAGAACATTCGGCTAATGTACGAAAGTAGAGCCACGATTAAATGTTTTTATTTTCTATGAGGAATATAGGAGCGGGAAGCTACGGCGCTTTATAACTACAATGCCTATTCCAGATCCCAAGGCCCTTTACAAGTGATCTGATAATACTCCTGTATAAATAAATAAATAATTCATTATCCTGATTTGGCGCCTTGAGGCCCAGGCAGGTTTTTATCGGAAGATGCGTACTTTAGGTAGGACAACTCAATTTGACGTTTAGAACACTCACACTCAGATTTCATTTGCAGATACCACTAGAGGTTGACCCTTAAGCCGTATAACCTCTTCCGTGCATGCCCACCACAGGGAAAAGCGTGAAAACCCTGTGGCTATCCGAGTGTGCTTTCATCATCCCACAACTACAAGATCACCGCGAGAGAGAGTGGTGTGTGGGTCTTACTGGATTTGAACCAGCGTTCTCCTGTCTCAAATAGGGTAGGTGTTCAAGCTACCCAGTATCTACTTGGGAGAACGGCCCGGACGGTGTACCACTGCACCATCCAACCCGATACACCCGTATAGTTGAGGATCCAAGATTGACAGACCTCTAGAATAGTACGAGGCTCTCATAAATTGTAATGCTTATGTAATGTTGTTCTCGATGGAGTCCGGACGCAAGATGAGGAATACTGTTGTTAAACAGACGATACCCTGTATTAATAGAAAATCAAGTTACACCTAGTCTTAAGCTCTACTATACATATTGGTAGTTTGGAGCCACGAGACACCCGTAACCCACACTATCACAAAGCTAAGCTTATCTTATTTTAACATATACTAATCCATCAGGAACCTCATAATGAGTAGATTTACGCACTCGCTTCATTCTCAACACCTGTCAGTGGTGTTCCCTACGAACCTCCAGCTTCACGATCAGATGTCAAGGTCGAAACCCTTCTGATCACCAACCCTTCATCATGGAGGAGAGGCCATCCGATGAGTTTCCGGAGCGTACCAAGCACCCGATACGGAGATGGTGGATTGGATGAAGTTGGCCTCGACTGTTACAAAGAAGGGAGATGTAGATGAATATACGCATCTCATGTGGTCCCGGTGTCTAGGCCTTGGCTGGCTGGGGCTACAGGTTTTTTGAGACTTTTTCCCGCGCACACACTTTCCACAGCTACCATTTTTTTGGGGGGAAGAAGGTTCCGTGGAAAAGGTGGCTGAATTCCACGGGTAAACACTGAGCTGAATGGCTATTCATCACGGGCAATATATCAATGATCTTTCAAGAAACATGGGAGGCGAGGAGCACTGTACAAGGTGTGGCCTGGGTCAGAAAGAAGCGCAATGTGCTAGATAGTCATAGACTCAAGTATTACAATAAACAACACACACATACGCACTCGCTTCCGCCTACAAGATTAGGATGGGCCTATAGCCTTAAACAGCCCAGCCACAACCAAACGGGCCTGGCCCGTAACAATGTTCCCCTTCTTTGTAACATTCGAGGCCGACTTGATCCAATCCACCATCTCCGTATCGGGTGCTTGGTACGCTCCGGAAACTCATCGGATGGCTTTTCCTCCATGATCAAGGGTTGGTGATGAGGAGGGTTTCGACCTTGACATCTGATCTGATCGTGGTTAGCTTCATGATAATGGTGATAGGGGGATGTGCTTGGGGATGAAGACGATACAGACGGCGAAATTGATTGGGAATCCTCATCGAAGTGAGGACTTGGGTACTCAATCTCGGTTCTGCGGACTCTATATTGAGAGCTGGAGGTTCGTAGGAGAAACCACTGACAAGTGTTGAGAATAGTCCCCCTTTATATGTCTATATCGTCCTACATGCGAGCAGATAGACGAATTTTGTCTTGACTTTATGAATTCAACCCGAAAATCTCCTATCTTGAGTGGCAATGGTGTTCAAGGTGTCGATACTTAGAATACGGCATCGGTTTAGACGATACACTACAGTACCATACAGAAGTTTCTTAGCTATATGGCTGAATACGCTCTGTTTTTTATTGAAAAACGCCGTCAGCTATGTCTACATTTACAGTGTCGTCATGTCACAAATCACGTATAAAAGCAGTGAGCATTTGTATAGAAGAAGGTAGTTTATATTTGGCTACATTTAAGTTGCCCAGGGAGTCGAGCAGGTATTTATACATTCCTTTTCATACACTCTTTGGCCTTCGTCCTAGATGTAATCATGGCTTATTGACCTAGATCTTTCTAGTAACTTATCGTCTAGTCCCTTGAAGGTTCCTTCTTCATTGCTAGAAATTTCCCACTCCTTCTAGGTGATTCTCGATCATCTCTGCTCTAGTCACGAATATTCCACAACAAAGATATACCAGGTAAGCACATCTAACATTCTACGAGAATATTCCTGTGAAGTATGATCAGGAGCCAAGGACTGTCTGCGCTAGCCGGCGTAGACTACAGGCATTACTCGGTTTACTAACCGTCACACGCCAGCACTTCTGCTGACTGACTCACGACCAGATTTTTTTAATCCATTTACATCCTCTTTAAGTCTAAGACTATTGTCGGATGTGCAATATTCTCACGGCGAGTAAAATGATGTTCTATACGACAAACTTCTAAAGAATTAGCATTTTCTCCTTTCGGTACTTTCTCTGGCCATAGCTCATCCTTTTTATTCGTTCTGACATCCCTCGCCTTTATCCCAAGATTCTGTCTCAATAAGTTTGTGCACTACGATTTTTATCCTTCTGTGAATGGTTACAACTCTGTGGACGTCTATTTAAAGGCCAAATACAGCTAGAAGCTTATTCGATGAAGTGTGGTTATTAAAGTTAGGATGTTATAAATGAATGAATATTTTGTTCGTGACGGGCACAAGCCCTGCACTCAAAGGGCATGCCACGGAGAAGACTAGCTTCTCCAGCGACTATATACGACGATAACTCAGTTTGACATTTGGACTACTCATGTAGTGTGTGCATTCGCTAACACCATTCGAGACCTTTGTGCTAGGGACTTTTACCCTTCCTTCAACCGTCAATATTACCAAAAAGAAAACACGAAAAACCTGTAGCTACTCTATCATGCCTTTGCCATCTTATATATATTCATCACGCGGGATATTGCCTTATAGTCCTCCCTTTCTCGAGTGAGGTAGGTGTCCAGGCTACCAAGGCTTTAATTCTGGAATATAACGACCAGGAGGCGGACCACAACGCCTTTCATCGTTGTCTATGGCAAAGGTTTCGGTGACACTATCTAAATCGTAGCCTCGGAGCCCACGGGTTCCCCAGAGTCGATAACCCTTGAAAAATTGGCGTCCTAGTCTGCCTATTTGTGACCTTCACTCGCTCGTCACACGTACTAGCTGTCTATCCTCCCTCAAGATGTGAAGCCCAATTAGAGCAACAGTCTACCGGAGACCAAAACCCGGGCTTTGAATATTATAACTTAGTTACCTCCTCGCGGGTATACATAATATCATAACTTTTTAGTGGGAAACGGCCGAATTTTGATGAGGCAAATTCCCGATTGCAATTGGAGTAAAACTTTTACCAGTAGTAGAGGTAAGATGGTGTAGTAATATTGAGGTAGATGACTCGCGTGAGAATGATAATTCCGTCTTTAACGAGAAGTCGTCAAATAGAGATTTGCTTGTATTTGCTTTCGACTTTGATTCGGATATGATTCTTCTTGGCTATCCTAGATATACAGAGCATACTGAGCGATTACACCGGCACCACTGGAAGGTGAAGAATTCATCTTTGCCGGCTTAGGAAGTTATGGATTACATTTAAAGACATAATAAGGCTTTAATTGGAATTAATCTTGTTACAGGCGAGAGATTGGTGCTGCAAGAAGTTTTGAATCATTGCCTTATTTGTCAAAATCTTCGCTAATCTGGAATCTGAATGGGCCGAACTTCTGAGGGAAATTTCTGTCCCAGGCTACTCGAAGAAACTGCTCATAATTATATAATCCAAGTCCTCCATGGTGATCAATATTTAGCTCAAACGACATCAGAAACAGATCACCACTCATACCACATCCTAGTCCACGCCACACTTGCACATGAGATATGCACTGACTTATTATATTCTTAATTTAGATTGTGCTCATATTGCTTCTGTTATATGACGTAAGTTGCGTCAGGTTTCCTTTTGATAGCTAGAAGCCTAGCATTGCGACGCGTCGCTGCTTCTACTTATGATGTCTGTCACGGCACCATGGATCCTTCTGGCGCAGATACATATCAATCATTTCTCTATTTCAAAACCAGATAGCAAAGGGAGCCATGCTATATCTAAATTTCATTGTCGCAATACTCGCCTCGGCTATCACTGTTAGTCTCTTACTACCCCTATCGCACATCCCGAATTTAACTGACAAAAACTTGTAGGCTCAGTTAAGTCTACCAAATACTCCCGATGGAGTATTAAGTATTGCTACAGCTCCTCCTTCCCCCGGAGATATAGGTCTGCCTCTCGCATCTGATGCATCATCACGCATGGCCTCAATATCTAGCGAAATCGCGGGCCACATGTCATCTGTTACCAGCTCACTCGCAGCTCAGGCATCATCGCTCAAAAGCGAAGCATCAGGAAATGTTATGTCTATAACTAGCTCGCTTGCCGCGGAGGCATCATCAATAGCTTCGAAAGCGTCGAGTATTTCTAGTGAAATAGCCAGTAAAACTAGTGCTCTCAACATTGGAAGTGAACCCACAAGCACAGCAACAGGTAACGCCGCATCTCACCCAACTGGTGCTATGGCTTTCGGGGCACTGTTTGGTGCTGGGGTGATAGTTGTGAATCTATAGCCTCCGCTGAAAGTTTACCGAATGCAACCAATTCTAATCACTAGGTCATCGAAAAAAGGAGTAGTGCCAGACTCGTCGCTGGTCGCTTGTGTTTACAAACTACTGAATGCTGTAAGGATACACCAGGCAGTGCAACCGCTACAGTTTGTCACTTCGAAAGTGATTTGACTACAGCTTATCAGTGTCATTATTATTTCTAGCAAACAAAATCTAGTCCAACTATTATATATAAAATCCAATTCTAAATTTACAACCACTACCTTCTAGTACCAAAACTTTAAGCACTAAAAGATTCAAATCAAGCTTTTCATACTTGGCAGTTAGGTAATCACACTGATTGAGTAAGGCTTCTTTTTTTTTGCATTAGATTTTAATTGCGTATGCAGCTATCTAGCTATGTCACAATATCAAAGAAAAGTACAGAAAAGATGGCTCAATTTACAAGAGGAGCACTCATGCCTCAGATTTCATTTGCAAGTACCACTGAGAAGTTATGGCGGCTTTTTCTTCACCCCAAGTCAACCCTCATCCGTGAATACCCACCCAGGGGAATGTCTCAAAAACCTTGAGTTATCTAGACATCCCTCCGTCATCCATCAACTTCTCTCCTCGCGAAATATAATCTGAGATGTCTTCTTCCCAAGTGGAGTAGGTGCCAAGGCTACTCAAACTATACCAGAGAACATCACCAGGAGGCAGGCCACGGCACCTTCCATCGTCGACTTATTTTTATAGTGTCAGCTTCACTCTCGCAAGCGAAGTCTTGGCGCGCACAAAGCCCAATTCGTAAAACTATTGCTAAAATTCGAAATTTCACGCCCGTCGAAAACGTATCCCCCTTCTGCATCATCTTGTAAACTTGTCTTGAACCCTCTCACGTCCATCTCAAAGAGCAATCTCCCAAATTTGTGCTCCACGCTTTGCTTCCTCCGTCGGGTATAAATATCGGCGTGAGCGTGTATTTGGTGGTCAACTGAGGCCAGAGAAAGTCGACGAGAGGTATGGTCATTGGGATGAGGATGTACTATGTCGTACTTGTAGGCTTGATGAAGCTTAGTTGAGAATCGGACTCTTTAGGAGTGAAAGATTGACATGGTGGAGTAACTTAAATTTTTGCCTCGTGGGCCAACTTCTCTGATATTGCGAAATTTGACTGAACTTGGCTCTGGGAGAATATTTCACTTCCAGGTTCGTAGAGGACACCGCGTACAGGTGCTCAGTCCTGCCCTCCGAGTAAGGCTTCATATGGTGGAGATTAGTAAAGTTCCTAGCATGAATCCATGATCTTCAATAACCACAGGGTTGATACTCTCAGAATGCCAGTAAGCCACTATATTAGGCCAGATATGAACCGACAGAAGTAATAAGGTGGTGATTTCGTACATTCTACGTCATACTATGTGAACCCATGCCCAGGGCAGTAATAATCTTGATCCAGGTCATCTACCAGGCGGACGAAGGCTAAAATCTGTCTGTAGTGTCGACTGCGAAGCTGGAAGAAGACTTACCTAAAAGCCAAGTTGAGTCAAAGTTTACAATACCAAAGTAGCTGACCCACAAGGCGATTATTCGGTACTCTTCACAAATCCAGATCTCATATGCAATGAGGGTTTTAAGTACTATCTAGTAAATCCTTATTTCAATGACCACGCCCCTCATTACCTTTACTGTAGCCTTAGCTTGCCACCAAACACACGCCCAAGCCGATATCTATACCCGTCGCAAGAAACAAATCGTTCCGCACAAATCGAGATGGCAGTTCCTTGAGATGGACGTGAGAGAGATCAGGATAAGTATACAAAATGATGCAAAGCATGTGTACAATCTCAACGGGGGTTAGATTTCTAAATTTAGCAAAGATACTTTTAAATTAAAGAGCATTGTGCGTGCCAAGCTTACGATTGCGAGAGCGCAGCCGACGCTACAAATTCCATCATGCCTAGATGGTGCAGTATATCATCATCTGGTCTGGTCTGCAAAGTAGAATCTAGATAACTTGAACACTTTGCCCACTTGAGACTGGCGATCGCTGGTTCCAATCCAGCAAGCTTAAATCAATTTTTTAGTGATTCTCTTTTTTTGCATCAGGTTTGAATCGCATATGCAGCTGTCGAGCTATGACACAAAATTAGCGAGAAGAATAGAATAGATAACTCAATATACAGCTAGAGCACTTACGTCTCGTATTTCATTCGAAAGTATAATTGCGAAGTTGTGGCAAATTTTTCTTCGTCTCAAATCAGCTCTCCCGGTGATTACTCAGCTGGGAAAATTTCCCAAAGTCCTAAGTTAACCAGACATGCCCCTACTCTACACTGAATAGTCTCCATGCGATGTAAAGTGTGTGGCTTCTCCTTAAGTGGGGCAAGTGCCCAGGCTACTCAAACAGTACAGGAGAACAGCCCTAGAAGATGGGTCAAAGCACATTTTCGTGCCCCTGTTTGCCTAAGAGGGACCTCAAATTTTTATAGGCTGCTGGAAGGCTAGGGCCATGAACAATTTTTGTGAGTGGGTGTTTACTGTACTATTGAGTCTATTACTATGTAAGAACATATAGGTCGTTTCTGCCTACATGCCGGGAGCATATATGCCTCGGGTAGTGTACTCCCTCCTTTACCTCCCTCACGACTTGTTTCCAGCAGTAATACCCCCACAGGTCTTCATTCGAGTACACACTAAGAGGAGACGTTACCCCGTCATTATCTCCCCTCTCAAGCTAACGAAGCGATGGTCATTTGCGGGTGTGTAGCCGCAGGGAAACGTCTCAAATACCACTGGGTGCGGGGCTCTCCTATGACGAAGAGGCCGGCCAGCCGGGCGCAGCAGAACTGTGTATACCTAAGAGTGTCTCTTAACCTTCCTAGCCTCCTCCTTACTCTTCCCATAATTCATGCCGCAGGACAAACCGAAGGTCGTGGAAGGATATCATAAAATTCTTGGTCGAGAGTGACTGTCGTGAAGGAGCCTAGCCTAGCATCCAAAAGGCGTTATGGACGTGGGGTCGTCGAGTAACTCATGTATTTCAGAAGCTCTCCTGGATGATAGATTCGGAAGTGTAGATTAGAAGGGACGATATTATTCACGAGTCGAAATCTGCTTTTCTTGAGGGCTGAAGGGTCTTTTACTTTGCTTTCATGGGCTTTTTGTTCACCCACCGTTTGGCACCAAATGTTGTAATATAACGAGGACTTCTCTGACTACCGTTGTAGCGTTTGGTACCGCATTACCTTTCCTCATTCCCAGCATCATTATCATCGTTTTGGTCGTCTTGTGAGTTATCGGAAGCGTTTCTTTGGAGGGGAAGATAATTCAGCTCAAAGTTGAAAAGTTGTTACTCAATCTCGACTCTTCGGTGAGAGCTGGAGGTTCGTAGGGGACACCACTGACAGGTGTTGATTTTCATCCCCCATGAATAACTTTTGTGAACGCCCTGGTTTTCATTTAACTTCATCAGTATTCTTGTGGGGCACTAGCTTGAATTCTCGGTATTTACTTGTCTACAGTTGATGTTGATAATATGTCGACGGTAAGATTATATCTCTTCCCAAATCCATCAATATATCCAAAAACCTAAGTGAGCCGCTTGAAATTTGGCCTTGTATTTCTCGAAGTTATGTCTCCTACAATAATTTATTAGCCTTGTCACATTTTCGGAAAATCAGCGATTTCTTTCGGCAGTCTAAAGTCTGATAGATTCCCGAATACCATCCATATTTCATTCAATAATCTGAGAGATATTCAATATGTACCTGTTAGCTTCAGTTAAGACACTGCTTTGTTTGTGCACAGAATGACTTGATCTAGGCCATGTAGATGTTTGGATTTATAACTGTGCCGCTGCTTATGACTTCTTGTTGAAGACTCTTATTCGACAGATTGGCAATAATGGACTTTGGAGTAAAGTCATTTTTCTTAATCTTTTTGTGCTCCCTTCGGTCGAAAAGCCATCTCGAACTATTCATTTTTATTCTTGTAACCCGACCTTTTTTTCATCGTGGCCAGGTTTATTATTTTGCCGTTGTCTATATTTTCCATGCTTGTGCCATTTTCCCTAAAGAGATTTTCATATTTCAACAGGTTATTCGCTTCGGGATACAGAAACTTTTTAGCTGCGCCATTCCTGAGTAAGGGTCTCTTAGGGAGAATGACTACGAGCGTACCTCATTGTCGTTATTCTGGAGCTATAGTGAGGCGTACCACCTTTCAATGTATAAATCAGTCTTTTTGACCTGTTGAGGCTGCTGTAGTTTCTCTGCCTCTTCTGCTCTTACTCGAAATGCCAAATTTGTCACTGTCAGTCCATCATTCAACACGTAGACTATTTGTCTTCTCATTTCTTGTAATATTTTTGGATCCATCCAAAGAACTGGTTCATTAAGAATCTTTTGATTACCTTCTTCGAAGCTATGATCTTTTTTTCCTAATAATGAAGCCGTAAGGCCCGATCTGATTATCGTAATATAAGTCTTGAGGACCTCAAGAGCTTCATCCAACTCCACTCTTCGTGTCGCAGATTGGTTTGTTCCTACTTTCACCAATCTTTTCCACACTTTTTTTCGAATGAAGTTTGCTGTTCTGGAAAAATAAGTCTTAATGCATGTATGATTCACGACTAAATACAGTCATTTTTGTGGTGGATCCTATGTCGGTTTTGTCAAATGGTGGTATTGTGAAAACTTCACTCTCATAAAATCCACACATCTGTCTCCTCAACCTGCCATGCCAATGTGTGACGAGATAGAGACTGAGGCAGGCGATATCGATAGGATGTAGTGGTAAAAATAATAAAACGATGAATTCTGTACGTGCGATGTGTCGCTTCTTTTGATAATACAAGTTTTGTATTTTTGCTACAGTATCTCGACGGACGCTTTTGAACGCCCGCTGGATTATTGTCAGATGTGCATTGATTTTAAAAGCATTCATTCTGCATGTCCTACATAGTCATAGACTCAGACAAGACAATAAAATGAATTAATAATAAAAAGCATTCATTCAACATCCTTGTGAAAACGATAGCACGAAAGACAGACCGGCCGTGTCTTTGTAGGTATCCGCTGGCATAACAGCTTAATACTTTTAAAACGTGCGGAAACCAAATAATTATAAGTTTGTCAACAACCTCGATAGATTTCTTTCTTACTTCTTCTAGTATCGTATATTCTACGAGCAGAATTTATGATCCAGATTAATTGATATAATTAGGACATGTACTTGTCATGAATGATCGCTAGATCAGTCCACGTGATGCAAATCCGGCTAGGAAGGATGGAGAGGACGACCCGGAGTTTTGCGGTTCGAGCCATATCGACAGTCATCATGCAGTCAGTTACGACATTCAAATCTACGATGGAATTTTCTTCAGCTCAACAAGTGGGGTCCGAAGAATAAATCAGAAATCCTCGGGAGCCCAAATTGTGACATCATGCCTGATTTTGTCAAGCTGGGAGTGTTAGAACATTTCCCGCACAAATTGCTCGTGGATCACTAATCCGCTCAGCAACTTGCGTTCTCTAGAGATATAGAATGTCACTTGTGGGTAGAAACAGAGCGACAAGCCCGATAAATTGGTTACAAAATTTGAATGCAGACGACAATACAAGTGTCGAAAAAGGTCATCCGTTGATACATTACCATCTGGTGTTCTTGTTTCAAAGGATAATTCTCGCACCAAGCATGACGCACCTATTCCTACATTGATATTTCCTGCAGGCTATTCCAGTTGTGGAGGATTTTGTATCCGACTTTCAGCTACACTTTAAAATTTACCCTACTTATCACAAATTACGAAGGATGCGCACAAATCATGGTCATAATGTAGCCTTGTTTACTGACTTTGGAGAACTCTTAGCATCCTAAATATTGTGTTCACATCTATAAACCAGTTTGGTAGCGGACAGAATTAAAAACTTGCAGATGTTATATTTCTAGTAAGTTAGGTCAGATCACCATGGACGAGACTCTCAACCCCGGAATTGACTCTTACATAGCTGTTCGCCGGATATATGCAGCCACCAACGCCCCAGCCAAGGTTCATTAGATACTGCCAGATCAAAATCTAGCCATAACCCAAAAATTAGATATAGCTCGCCAACACTACTATTTCTGCATATCAGATAGGGGGCTGCTCATCTGCTTTCTTCTTTCGCCCGCGAACCTTCTTCTTCAACTTTATTTTCTCTTTTTCCTTTTCTTCTTCACTCGCGCTCTCACTTTCTTCCTTTCGCTTTCGAGTCGGTTTAGTCCCGTCATGACTCGCACCCTCAACACTATCTCCAACTCTTTCAACAATTTCTGCAAGAAAATCAAACCGTTCAGGTTGCCCCTCAACTACCATCTTTAAGTGTTGCGCGCTGACCTTTTTGCTTCCTTTCTCGCGCGCCTTATCAGCTGCTCCTGATACTAGAGCAATCATGAATAGCTCAAGCGCTTTAGATACGGCCACCGGCGTTACCTGAGCTACCTTTCCAACCTCTTCATCAGCTTGCATTATACGTTTGATACGGGCGACGGGAAATTTGGTCTTAATTTCAATTTTGTTTGGGTTAGGGTCGCTATATTGGAGGGACGGCCCAGAGCCTGATTGGCCACTGTATTCATCGTAAATTCTTGAGCCATGAGAGGCAGACATGATTGAAGGATTGGATTTAACAGATGGAACCAAAGTATCGTTTGGTTCCGAGATATATTCCGAGCTCGTATTCCCGCTGCGAGGGATATTTAAATATGACGACTGTGGGTGATGGCAAGGATTATTGATGATGTTAGAGTTTTGAGAAGAAACTGGTAAGGAATTATAATAGGCAGACAACGCCGAAGGGGGGTGGGGCGAAAGTAATCTGTTTCCCTCCTGTTCCAAGACCAATTGGGTCGAGATATCAGAGTTTGTTCCAGGGCCGTTAGCGATCTCGGCCGATGGGAAGAATCCGGAGCGGTAGTTGTCTTTATAGGCAGGGCTGGGGGTAATGGCGATCGGCAATGTTGACGATGACAAGGGTACCGGTGGTTGTGATAAAGGTCTTTTGTTTTGTTGATGGAACTGAGAAGTCGACATGGCGAGTGAGGTTAGTCGGGGGTATAAGGTGGAGCGGCGTAAATCAAACCCATGAGATTTTTTTATTTTTTCAAGAAAATCTTTGGCGAGTCGGTGAATTATGACTCCGGGGAATAAGGGGGGCTGGAATTTTATGATATAGGCAGCAGAGGATGGGCTGCAACAGGAGAAGAACAAATAATCACACTTTTTGCCCAGAGAAAGAATAACTATTTGTCAAAAATGTGGAAAGGGAGGCGAACCACTTTATGATATGATTTTTTTCAGCTAACCCTTGCAATGCTGATTGAACATGTAGTATATTAATAAATGCCTGAAAATCTTTGATCTCGAGGGGGTCCGAATAGTAGGTAAAGCACGTGTACTTGTCGGTGCAGGGGATATCTCGACAACCTGCCTTAATTTGGGATCAGGCTCTGGGAAAAAATGCGGGAGAGGTATATGTAATGATAAACAATTAGATAGAATGAAGATTGTGATAGATAATATTGATCACGTTATAAAATCTGCTGAACACAATGATGCTGTCTAAGGCGATGATGACAGTGAGAATATATATTGATTCTTATATCCATTTGTGGGATCATATGGGCAAACGGAACAATGATTGTTCCGCACTATGTGTGACCAACCATGGGTAGTAAAAAACGCGAAGCTAGCAGGAATGCAAAAGACGAGCGAATGAGATACAAGCCACATGATATCGAGAAAGGAGAGAGGTGGGGCATTTAATAATCGCAGAGGGTCTGTCCATCAAATCTTCATGATAGGGAATTCAGTGAAGGTTACAAACCTCGACTACCAATTCACATATTTATTCGGCGCCTGTTTATTTCTGTTGGAAGTCTGAATGAGCGGGCCATTAGTAAAAATTCGACGGTGAGTTATTTTCGGTCAAAAATTTGTTTACAGTGAACAAGAAACGCACGACTCGAGCTGTCCGCGTGAGAAAGTGTACATGTCTCGGGCGTCTCATTTTGGCAAAGGTGGATCCAAGTCAAGCAGATATTTTCTTTTTTTCAACAGTGCCATCTACAAACGAGCATATCAAATTCTGCTCAAGCTTGAGTCTCATTGTTGGGACAAGAGGGTCAAAATTCAGGCTGTATAATCATCCGACGAAGCGGGGTCTATACCCACCATGACCGAAATCAAAGGCAAAACAATTCACGAATGCATGAATCGAACCAAAAAATAACTCAATCTATTCTCTTCAAGTTTCGTTGGACTTCAGTTTTGCAACCAAAACCTAATTTCAAGCCTTTCACTCCAACTTTCGAAAAAATGCAATAAGCGACTCATCTCCGCGACTCTCGTAATCTGCTGACAGAGATTTTATGCTATACGTCACAGGATTTCTGACAAATCTTAGATGTGTTCGATAAGATTGTTTATCGCTGCGATTAATATAGAATACTGGGTCTTTGACCCATATTTCGAAATCAACATTGTCCTCTTAACAATGACTCGATATGAGGCGATCTTCAGAAGCCCTATTCACGCTTGCCGTGCTGGTATAGTAATATAAAATCTGATTACATCCGAGCTGGAAGGACCTGCATTTAGGATCTTGATTTGATATTTTAGCACTGCAAAAGGGTCAGCATAATCATGCTTTCTTTTCATCATCGTCACTTTGTTACTTACAATGTGATCGGCAACCTAGCTGTATCACAGAATTAGTTTCATGCACATGCTGACTGACTCACAACTCTCGAGACACTCAAGCTCTTGATTATAATTGTAGATATTACTGTGTAGTACTTCTATCCACTATAGGTATTCAACTCTCATTTGTGTGTGTGTAAGCGAAAAGTTTCGAAAACGTTAATCACAGTGCAAATCAATCAGCAAACGAGCGAGGCGAGTAATTTGGTCGGTTGTTACTGGGTAAGAACGAGCGATCCCGCTTTTCAAGTGGGCGAGTGTATGTTTATTATGCTTCTAGAGTCTATGACTATCTAGCACATTGCGCTTCTCTCTGACCCAGGCCACACCTTGTACAGTGCTCCTCGCCTCCCATGTTTCTTGAAAGATCATTGATATATTGCCCTTGATGAATAGCCATTCAGCTCAGTATTTACCCGTGGAATTCAGCCACCTTTTCCACGGAACCTTCTTCCCTCCCAAAAAATGGCAGCAATGGAAACTGCGTGCGCGGGAAAAAGTCTCAAAAAACCTGCAACCCCAGTCAGTCAAGGCCTAGACACCGGACCACATGAGATGCGTATATTTATCTACATCTCCCTTCTTTGTAACGGTCGAGGCCAACTTCATCCAATCCACCATCGCCGTAACGGGTGCTTGGTACGCTCCGGAAACTCATCGGATGGCTTTTCCTCCATGATCAAGGGTTAGTGATGAGGAGGGCTCCCAACCTACCATCTGATCTAATCGTGGTTAGCTTCATGATAATGGTGAAAGGCGTTTGTGTTGAGAGATGAGGACGATACAGACCGCGCAAGCGATTGTAAATGCTGGTCGAAGTGAGGACTTTGTTACTCAATCTCGGCTCTGCAGACTCTACAGTGAGAGCTGGAGGTTCGTAGGGGACACCACTGACAAGTGATCAGTATAGTATCCCCCTTTCCTCAAGTGTACAGACGCAAATGCTATCATTTCTCCACTTGGGAGACTATCTTGAATAGCGTGCTACTGTGCCGTCTTACACTCATCCTGGGCCCGATTCTTTTCTGCTGCTGAAATTGATTAAATCTTATAACTTTCTTTTAATCATAGGCAATTCTTATGGTACCTGTGATATCACATTCATTTCCCCATTTTTTTTATCATTTTCATTCGAAGTAAACTGAATACTAGAGCTTTACAGTGGATAGAGGAGGTTCACAAAGGCATATTTTAACGTCAATTTACTCGGCCAAACACTCCAATATTTTATGAAATTATACCCCAGATTCATAGCCTGAGCAGGTTCTTGCTCGGAGATAGTTTGTAGAACCGTTGACCACGAGGGTAGGCTGTGCTTAAAATACGGAGTTTATAAAGATTGGCCTAGTTCATGCTGTCTTTCTTTATGATCCATGGCAGACACTTACACCAATGCACTAAAAAATCCCCAAAAATAAATTACGTACAGCTCATTGAAGTGATTAAAAGAGATAGTCAACACCCTCACATATAAATTAACTGTCCTCATGTTCAGTGAGAGATAGATCTACATGTTGCAACCTAGCATCTTGAGACCTGGTAGCTAGGCAAGACAGTCGAGACCGCAAATCACAAGGTGACTAGGGGAATGATATTTGGCATTACGTTCAGAAAGTGTACTTTGAAGAGCAACTGTCTAGAGGCAGTATTTTGCCTACAGATGTAAAGCAAGATAGTAAGGCTACATGAGATTCCTATCAGTACGTAGATTTCATCTGCAACAGTAGGGCTCTCCAATCAACATCTACAACCTAACATTGTGTCCCACGTATCATTCTTGAGAGCAACTAAGTTTCGAGTTGGATAATTCTGCAGCGCTTCCATGTTGAATTAAGAGCACTTAGCTTGTGAAGCTGGTGTGCCGTTCAATGTTCTCAAGAAACCTTCGTAGGCGTATGATAATCACGAGCATATTTTGGGGGAGCAGGTGATGCTCGCTGAGAAATGGACTGCGTATCAGATTCAGGCAAAACATTTATCTCCAGAAGGTGATGCGATCTCCGGTAGATTCATTCAAGCTAATGAATCATGTCGTTGATGCAAATCCCCAACGATCTACAATTTGAAGAAAATGCCGTAGGGGTAAATAAGCCTTGACTCCCTATATCTCAGGTATTGATTACTCATCTCACCTACAGATTGTATGTTTGAAACAAGTAATAGTCAGTCAAAAAAATTACTGTGCATATTCAAACACCTCCATCATCGTACGACTGTTAGTATCTCGAAATTGAATTTTATTTACAAAAATCAGTGCAATCTCATTACAAGGCTCCAATATGCAAATTTTTCACTTATGAACCAGAGATGAGTCGCAAATATCCAGTTCCATATGACCTAAGTTTGATATGACTTATCTTGCTGTAGCTGATAGATCAATCATAATCCACAAAAATAGCATACTAGTCTAAATAACTATGGAAGAGTCAAATACAATTGTTTACATTACCCCAACAAACATACAATCTGGCTGAAAAAATCTATGTTTCATTCCTTGATCATCATGGCAGTAAGCAACTTTATGCTTTGCTTGTTGAATGATGATATACAATAGAGCTTTTCTAAGATCAAGTGCAGTAACTTGCACTCAAAAGCAGTCTTGTTCAAAACCTTATCTCAGATAATGGTTTTTGCTTGGCCTTTATTGATCAGATGAGGAATGAACTTGATCTAATCTGACAACTTGCGATTCAACCAGCTGAGGGCGGTGGAATACAATTTTAACGGGACTTAGAAAGATTTTATCAGTGGTCCTGATCCGAAACTCAAGTTGATCGCTTTTGCTAACTCAAGAGTCGTAGGTATACCGAAGGCATGACAAATAAATATTTTTTATGGGACTTATACACACTCAGAATTTCTATCAGCTCTATAGCCCTTGAAGATCTTCTTGAAAATTAAACTAATCATTTCATTGTTCGATGATGAATAAGTAACACGAAACAATTTAAGAATTATATCACTTTATTCGTCAGCCTTCAAGACTATACTAGGGTCTAGAATAGAGGTGCCTAAATAAAAGATACGAATCAGTTGGATACTAGTTCTTGAAAAGTTCTTGGGCTGCATATAATCATAAATAATTATTGTCCTAGCAGGATTACAGATGCCCAGGACTCTATATTTAGGGACATAGTGAAAGTTACACACAAGTTGCAGTTGACTTAGTGTGATCTGATCAAGGTATTATGCCAAATGATACATAAATCTAGAACACATCAGCATGATCGACGACCTTATTTCAATTTATGAAATCTAAATATTTTCTCATTGCTGCAGGCTCTCAAATAAATCTCGTGAGAATCGATATTCAAAGATTAATTGCTCTTTAG